AAAAAAGTAAATGAACATTAGGCACACAAAATTTTGCAAACATGAAAATGAGAAGAATTTTTGGAATAAATGAAAAAAAAAGTGAGAAGAAATTTAAGAGATGGAGGAAGTATATATTTTATTCAACGTTTAGCTTGTACACATAAATTTGAATTACTGAAAATATTTTGATTGTACACGTAAAAAATGCAATTTAAATTCATTACTGAAAATATTTTGAATGTACACGTAAAAAATACAATTTAAATTCATAAAATGCACTACTCTAAAAAATGAAATTTTCTAACAGGATTTTTTTTGCCAAATGTCAATAGAAGATCAGAGCAATGCTAATTCACATAATATACAAATCAAAAGAAAGGCATAAAAGACTCCCAATGCATCATGTTAAAAACTTGAAGTTATCCACTACTTGTAATCTTTGGAAGCAGTTTCTCTCCACTACGTGTGAAATAAATTAGCAAAACAGAAAAGTTGGTACAATTTAGATGAGTAAGCATGTTCAACATGCTTTCTAAATTTCAAAAGTGAGTTTAAAAGCAGTGGTTCCATGTCAGCTTGACCAGGCAGATGAAAGGATGCATTGGAGAGAAAAAAAGCTTCTCAGATCACTTTGTAAACTCAAATATTTAGCAGATTTTCACTCCGTTAAAAGAGAGAGTGGGAGATGCTCTAAAACTTCAGATAATTGTCTTCTAGTTTCTTCTAATCCATTTCACTTTCCTAAGCGCTAGCCTTTATCTTCTGGATTCTTCTACTCTCTTATCTGCTTTTCACCACCCATACATCCACTTTCAGCCAACAACTCCTTCACCGACCTAGAAAAAAACACAATTGACATGTCAAAACCATATCCATAAGACCCTAACCCTTTATTAAGTACTCTGATCTCCTTACTTTCATTTCCAAACTCCTGTCGACGGTTTGATGGTTATTTCACAGAGTATGTCGTCATCTAACATATTTTTTTGTAAGGAAAGTTATCTCTATTAAACTAATAGGAAAAGTTGCCTGTTGATGGGCTTATAGATTACGTCCCTTAATTTTAAGTACAATTGTTCCAAAAAAGGCACTCCGCATCTTCCCCTTTGATAGTTCATCACAAGTGTCAAATTAATTTCCAAAGATCACTTGGAAAAAGGTAAAACGGCACATTCCAAAAAAACTTCAAGTGTGCTTTATTGTCTAGCATTCACGCACCATGAAACAATAAGATACATATGAGTAAAACTAATTTTACCTTATGGATCCCTATTTTGCATAGATGATCATTGATTTTGCAGGTGGCGTACTGTGTATTCTTATCAAATTGAGGTAGATAGATTTGTTTAAGACTGTGAAGGAGCTTCTTGCTAAATAGGGGGTCGATCATTAGTGTTGGTATGCTTTGTAATCGTCCACTTTTATAGGATGAAATAACGAAAGGTGCTTCCATTAGAATATTAACCGTCACTTAGTAGGGCGTGAAGGCTTTAATTCCATGATAATTTTTGTCGCCGGTTTGTCTCAAGTAACTTCAATTGTTTAAGTAATTTCATTTGTATTTATGCATTTTCATTGGGAATGATATCTAGTATATTTATTGATGTAAATTTATGGGAAGTGGTACATTAACTCTTCGGGAACAACAATCCTCTTTAGAGCTGCCCCTCTCTCGTGTAGCTTATTGGTGTTCCTATTTCAGCAATTATTAGTCCCAATTCGTTCAAGATATTGATGTTCACATTCCAGCAATCATTCACCCATATTGCTACAGTATTCCCGCCCATACTCCCTCCCAACTTTTCCGTTTTTATATATATATAGATCTCTTCTCTCAATCACTTCCCATGCCAAGCCATCTTCCTTGTCGATTTGTGCACACAAAAATGTGAGGTGGCCCACACTCATGTGGGAGATCATCTCAATAAGTTCCGAAATGTACATTTGGCCCCGAAAGTTGTATTTCTCGAATTATTTTAATTATATTTTATTTTATCGGGTCAAATAAAATATATATCATGTACATTCCCCAACTTTAATTTAGAAGTCCTCGAAATTTATTTTGGATTGTATCTGATTAAATTACCAATACTGGTAATTAGACATTGTTTGACCAACGTGTCAACCCTATGCCTTTTCTATGGCCCAACTAGAATATCCACCACCATATACATATTATCTAGACCAAGATGAATATAATATGTGGTCCCAGAAATATCGGGCGGTCCCCGTTCTCGGTGTGGCGTCCACATGTAATTTAATATTCACATAAATTCATAAATCATTCATCAAGGTTTATTACATGATTTACTAAAAAGTAAATATACTTGGGGACAGTGTTACATCTGTTTCTTTTGTTATTTGTATCAAAAGTTATGTGTTATATCACGGTTTATGAAATTAGTGAATGCATTTCATAGTATTTTTTTTTTTCCGGAAGGCAAACCACCAAAATCAGTGGGGTAAATGTCGGGGGACATTTACCATATTTTATTAATAATGAGAAAAAAATACAAAGTTAAGAAGGGAACTAGATCAAAACCTCTCAACAATAAAAACAACCAAAATACATCAAGGAATAATTCTGAAATCCGGGATACCAAACATATCCCTAAAATAAGCCCGTCTAACCAGATCAGGGAGATCATCTACATTATGAAAAGCCTTACATTGGTCCAACAATAGCCCAACTAAATAATGAGCCGGTCCATTTGCCTCACGAACAACATGCGAAAAACATGTCCCTTTCCTATTAGCGAGCAGTGCAATTTCCCGAATCGCATTCTTCCATCTTCCCCTTCCCCCCTCATTGATTTGCCGCACAACTACCATGGAGTCTGACTCCACTTCAAAATCTATATATCTAGCATTTCAGAGTATGTATTGCTGCATTTTATAGACCGCCTCTTTTCATAATAAAGTTTTTTTTAATTTAGTAACTCTTTTAATTTGTAATAATAAATCTATTATGCGTACTACTAATTGAATATGTCACTTTATAAATAAATATAAAATAAGTCATATTTTTACCTTTTGAGTTAAATTTAGTAATATTTGTGAAAAAGTCCTAAAATGTGACTTAAGTCGCTAAAAGTATATCACTATAGTCACTACAATGGAAATTTCAACATTGTCATTACCACTAAATTTGTAATTTTAGTGACTAAAGTATAGAAATCATGTTATATTATATTACATTTTTTACTATTATTTAAGTCTAGTCTAATATGATTTATTTAAATCTATCAGGAACGAAACCAGTACAATTAAAAACATCTTAAATGTCGATCACATGTGCGATCATCGATATAAAATATATGGTCTTAATGGGGAACTAACATAGTGCTAATCGAGTTTTAAATGATGGGACCCTCCACCTTTGAAAAATATCCGTTACACTATACAATTTTAAACATGATCACAAAGTTATTAATTCATAAGAAGACATAATTGAAATTTGAAGTATACATACTAATTTGATAGAAATACATTTATTAGGAGAGATTAATTTATAATTATACTACCAATAAGGACGTTTTTAGTTGGATTAAAATTTTCTAGTTTAGTCTAATCAGGTATAAATTGATTTGGTTTGATATGTTTAAGTTTAGTCTAGTTTAGTTTGGTCTAAACTGATAATATGATTTGTTAGATGACCATTCTATATGTGATACAACCATCGGAATCTGATCTAGTCTAGTCTTTTACTTCTAGTTTGGTATGGGATCGAAACCACTCTAATTAAAAATATCCTGAATAGTGTCAATAATATTTATATGATAATAAAATAAAAAAATTATTTAAAAAGATGAATGAAAAAATGTATATGACCACCAAAATATCATTAACATCTTATGCGACAAACTTAATGAAACTTATCAAAAAGAAAAACTGAAACACAGCTAGTGTGACAAATGAAGTGATTAATATGAATCAAGATAAATAAATATCTCGTCAGTCTGGAAAGTTAAGATTATTATTTTTTAGATAATATAATCATTGTAAACGAGATTGTAAAAAAATCATAAGAGCATTATATATAATGTGTTACGAATGTTTGTATTATAGAGTAGTTGTTAGATGGTAGTTAGACTTTGTATCCTGATTCAATTAAGATTTTGTGCATACTTTAAAAAAAGATAGTCATTTATATGAATAAAGTTCAACAAAATTTAAGGAAATATAAAGACATGTTTTTTTAAGTTAAAAAGCAATACAAGAAGGTTGTTGTGCTACTAGACCTGTACAAAACGGGTTCGGGTCGGGCTCGGACCGGGCTTTTTATAAATTTTCTGCTCATCGTGTGTGGGCAGGCCCGGCCCGGCCCGCAAAAACGGGCCTAACTCTATGTCCATACCCGCCCATAAGAGCGGGTCGGGTAGTCCATCGGGCCGCCCGGCCCGAGAAACCTTTTTTTTCAAAATTATATGATTTTTTAAATACTTTAAAAATAATATTACAACATTTAAAAAATAATTAATACGCTTATAATGTTTATACGTCTTTCAACAAATACAAAAAAAATACTTGCACAAAAATAATAATGAGAAACTATATCTAAAATTTAAAAATTAAGCACAAAGTATTATCTTTAAGTACAAAAATAGATATTATATTGGTTGGGCTAGTTGTTAAGAACGAAAAATTTAAATTTAAACATAATAAACTATAAATATGTATAAAGAAAAATTAGTAACTATAAATATACATGTGTATATGCAAATAAATAAATAAATTAGTATATATATATATATATATATATATATATATATATATATATATATATATATATATATATATATATATTAAATGTAACTGGCTGGGCTTATCGGCCTGAACGGGCCTACACCCTAACCCAAGCCTGCCCATATCTAACTGCGTGCCTGGCTCGGGCTGGTCCGGTGGGTAAATATATATGCCCAAGCCAGCCTATTTGTGCGGGCGGGCTGGGCGGGCCGGCCTGGTCAATGTGCTACCTACTAGGATTGCCCTACCCGATATACTTTAAATACGGGTATTAAAATTGTATCTTTATACAACTACTGTTGGAGTTGAACTTCCAGTAGCAAAGCTTACAAGGTTTCAGAAATTCGATCTAATGGAGAACTGCAATTTACCAAACGAGCTGCTGGTTGATATCCTGACGAGGCTGCCGGTAAAATCTCTAATGCGATTTAAATGCGTGTGCAAATTGTTTTACGATTTGATAAAGAACGACCATCAATTTATGCATAAATTCTATGTATTAAATAAAGCTGCAAACGAGTATGCCGTTATAGGGTTTGAAGGTGGGCGTTGCCTCCCCTCTCATTACATCTTTGGTTTAATTCCCAAAGAGATGGATTCTGATGAGATTGGGTGCACGTACATAGACATTCCAGATTTAGAAATAATATTTGTAGGTTGTTGTGAAGGGATGTTCTGTTTGATTTTGAATGACGGTAGGGGTTGGCCTGGGGTCGATATGGGTTTTGATTTTTTGATATGGAATCCATACACAAGAGAGATCAAGCAATTACCTTCTACTGTGGGGCCCTCCGAACATTCCTTACTCTCTGATATCTTCGATTACGAGCTGGATCAAAAGAATGGATTCGGGATTTCTAACAACATGACTTGGAAAGTTGTCATGCTATGGAGTTTTGAACCTGGTATTGATATATCTCATAATCGATTAGCAATGGTTTGCAGCCAAATTGGGGATGGTTCGTGGATTTGGAGACAAATTTATGGGACTCCAAATTTTCTACACTGCTTTGACGAGGATTTTTATTTGAAAGGGAAGTACTATTGGCGGGTTCTTACTATGGATACGAAAGATTGTTTGCTTTGGTTCGACTTCGACAACGAGGTTTTTGGGACTATTGAGTTTCCCCTTGGTAGCTTCAAAGCTCATGGAACTACTGTGACCATTATGAATGACACTGTCGCTTTGTTGATTGATTATTCTGATGGGAATAAGAAGATCTTGGAGGTATGGTTAATGAGTGAAAGTGGTGATATCATTGATTGGAATAAACATGTAAGCATGGAATTTGGTGGAAGAATGTCCAGAGATGAACGTTGGATGCCAATTGGAGTTTGGAATCAGGGTGGTCATTATCATTTGCTCGTCCATCCATACATGTTTGGGGAATTAAACCTCAGGCAGGCGGAGAATTCTTCCCATCCACTTCCTTGTCAAAGTAAAAATGGCTTCACTCCATATCTAATTTCTCTTGATATGGAAACTCAAGAGATGAAGCCTATCTATTTTACTCAAGGAAAGAAGAGTGTCCAAATTGATTCAACACCTCGAGGATATGTCCAAGTTTATAAGGACTTTGATGGTAACACAAAATTGGAATGGAATGATTTCAACTTCAGTTCAAGCTATTGGAGCTATGCTAGGATTCACCATACAAGTTTAAAGATGGTTTAATATGAGCAAAAAAGCTTATTTACTTAGTTTATCTTCTTTGTTTGCATCTATGCTTCTGCTTTTGTCATAGCTCTAACTTGTAGTTGTAATCAAAGGATTGGAAGCCATTGATTCTGCTTTTGCCCAAACTTGAAATCTACACACAAATCTACTACATTTCATTACATATTCTCAATTTTTTTATTAGATTGTGCTTTCTATTCTATGATACTATCTATCACTACTATTGGCTCTAGTTTCAATCTTGTTATTTAGTCATTCTTAAATGTGTGGTTTAAGTAACTTATGTGTAGTAGTTGATATTGTTTCTCTCATTGGTACAAATTTCAACAATACAATATTATTCGTTATTTATCGCTGCAATTTAAAATTGACAAAATTTTATGCTATGTAACGGAGTATTTTTCATTCAATGTGTTTGTCTTGGAATATGCTTAACTATGATCAAGTTAGACAAAGTGGACTGTAGGGTATTCATATCCCGTATTATTTTATTAGATGAGAATGTATTTGCCATATCTTGTGATTCTTGTCAATAGGGCTGGGTCAGAAAAACCGAAAACCGAAAACCGAATCAAATTAAACCGAACCGCTAAAAACCGAAACCGAATGTAAAAAACCGAATCGAACCGTAGTAGTTTGGTTCGGTTTTGGTTTTTACCCTTCAAAACCGAACCAAACCGAACTGAACAAACCGAACATAAATAAAATATGAAATTTTATTTGTTAAATGTAAGCATTAATCTTAATATCATCAATAATATTTGAATTTCTTGTGCTAGAGAAATAATGTTTATGCTATGTTTAGTTTAGTTTATAAATGCATTTACACATTCATTGCCCATAATAATGTAGCTATATTGATCTATTATGTCTTTTATGTATGTATGTTGCAATTTGTTGCATGATTATATGTTTTTACTAGTTATTAGTAGTAATTAACTTTTATTTTTATGTAACTTAATTCTTTTTTGAACTTAACTTTTTTATATTGATAAAACAAATAAATATTCATCTCGGCTAAATCACACAGGACGTATGTATTCATAAACGTTTTTCAAACTAGTCACAAACATTGTAAATTAAGAATAGATACACACTTTTATCTCTCTCGCATACTCGTATAATTCAAGACATACTCTCTCCGGTCCTTATTAAACTTTACACATATTAAGGAATTAAATTTGACTTTACTGTAGAGTGCACTGTTTGACACTGTTTGACACTGTTTTGCACTGTTTGGTGTAGATTTGTTTGCCAAATAAGTTAAACAAGGAAAGTGTAAAGTTAAATAAGGACCGGAGGGAGTATTTGTTTATTATTATTTTCTTCATTTCTTCAAGTATGCTTGCATTTTTATGTAATATGTTTGATCCCTCCGACTTTTATATCAATTTTAAATTAAATGACAAATATTTAGTAAAAAACCGAAAAAATCGAAACCGATCCGAAACAAACTGAACCAATCAAACCGTGGTTTGAAGTTTTAGAGTGTAAAATCGAACCGAAACCGAACCGAACTTTTACTTTGGTTCCGTATTTGGTTTTAGGTCAAAACCGAACCGAAAGAACCGAACCCACCCCTACTTGTCAATAGTGAGAACTAAGAAGGATCTAAACGTGGCTAACTATGATCAACTATACCATGTATAAATTATACGAGTAATAGTTAGCCCCAGCCCCAACCCCAGGGTATTATTAGGAGCAATGGCTTTGGACCTGCAAAATTGTAATTTTCTTTTCAGCCTGATATTAATTTATACAGTTGTGTTTAAACTTGTTTTTATTTTTTTAATGCGGAGTACTAATAGTAAAAATTTTGGATTTGTGGTTTACAATTCGCTAGCAGGAAAGGTAATGGTATGTATAAAAAGACTCGAGGAATCTAGAAAGTATGGAGTTCTTTTTGCTCTTTTTTTGTCAGAGTCGTTCTTTTTCTCTCTCAAGTAATGTTTGTGTCGTACTCCTTCATATCTAATTAGATGACTCGTTTGTTTTTCACGGAGTTTAAGACAATTACTGTAGACTTTATAAAAAGTAAGAGTTTTTTGGTACCGTAGCGGTACTGTAGCTGCTTTTTGAGTGTGATTCTTTCCAAAAAAGGAAACGAGACAACTAATTTGATACACCAAAAAAGGAAAGTGTGACAAGTAAAAAGATACGGAGAGAGTCATTGTTAACTATAATTTGCTGGTCTGTAATTTTTAATATGTATAAAAAGACTCGGGGAATCTAGAAAGTAATGTTTGTCGGTAGTTCTTTTTCAATAGGATGTTTTTACTTGGATCGTAATTTGCTGGTCTGGTCTGGTCTGATCTGTTTTAGTCTGGTTAGATATGATCTGGTCTGAAATTTTATTTTATCTATTTTTTACATAAAGTTTTTATTTTATATATATATTATAATCCATAAATACTTCGTAGAATTAGGCTTTAATTTTAGGAAACTAATTTAATTATTGATTAACAATAAAGCCCAAACTCCAAAGCCCCAACTATAGTTTACCCATTATTCATACAATTTTTTTTACAAATCAAGATTTTATTTATTTATTTTTATTTCTTTGTTTTTTACAAATCAAGATCATCTATATTATTCTGTCACTTGTATGACTTAAAATACGAAAAGACTAAACCAAACAATAATAAAATAGTAAGTGTACTAATAATAACAACAATAACACTACTACTACTACTACTAATAATAATGATAATGCTAATAATAATAGTAATAATTATAATAATAATATTAATAATAGTAATACTACTACTAATAATAATGACAATAATAACAATAATAATACTAATAGTAATAATAATATTAGTAATAGTAATAATAGTAATAATACTATTAATAATAATAAAAATAACAACAACAACAACAATAATAATAATAATAATAAAATATGGTCTTGGACAAATTACAGTCCAAGTAAAAACAACCATATGTTAAAAAGTAAATGTTTGCTTAAATATATCATATTTATTGTTGGAAAAATGTGTTAAAAATTGCATTAAATGGTCATTTTGGGGTAATTATTTGAGTGGGATCCACTTCCGATTTGGGTCGGGTCAAAGTGGTTTCGGATTTTCCTTGTTAAGGGCTACAATTCGATTTGTGGTACACTAAAAACGGATAACGGGTGAATGAGAAATTGATTCTCGAAGTTCACTCGTTGAAATGGAAAAACTGAGAAAATGATGAGTTTCTAGTGTGTTTTATCCCACACCGAAAAACTCAAGGGATTTTCACCCCCTTATAAAGGGAAGCCTCTTTTAAGGAGTTAAGATTCCTAAGGGTAAAGGCCCTCTCTTACGCGCAGGGGGGGGGGGTGCCGATCAAATCCCGAAACGGAGAAGAAAAACCGCGACTCGTGTGCGCGGGCGACCTGCGGACACGAATGTCGTCCGAAAAGGGGTGGAGTTCTGTTCGGAACAGAAACCCTCTAGGTCTTCTGTTCGCAACAGAGACCCTCGAGGTCTTCTCTTTTAATGCTGCGTTAAATGGACAGTTTATGGACGATTCAATGCCCAACGGACTGGTCATTGATGTCCAACGTTCAGGTCCATTAACACCCCATTTAACACACAAAAAATCCTCCTATAAATACCTGGCAGGTGCTTTGCAACAGACACGGTTTGACAACACACAATACATTCCTCACGTTTTCTTGAGCGAAAAACACTTCCAGCTACTCCCAAATTTCCTAAGTGTTCTTACTGTGTTCCAGTTCGCCGGAACTTTCGTTTGTGTGCTCAAACGATCGTTCGTTAGCCACCGTATCCTGGAAAACGGTCGTTGCAACGCTCCTAGCACCGTGGAAGGCGACGAATACGTTTTAAGGACATCGTGCGTAGCACGAGCTCTGGCTAAAATCTGCTTCATCTTATTTTCTGTTTTCTTTTAGCTATTTTGTTTATTAATTAATTTTATTTAATTAATATTTCTTCGCTTTTTCGGAAACACACCCAACATTTATAACCCAGTCGTATTTATATATACTTTACAGTTTACATATTGTTTTGATGTAGTGTGTATTTTTTTAAGGAGTACATTTACAATATTTTTTTTATCAGCATAAATATAATGATGGAGAATCACCCTTGACGATTACTCGATTAGTTTAAAAGTCTTATGTATATGCATTTTACTAGGGAATTTTTTCAAAATAGGAGTAAACATGTTTTGAAATTCCAAACAGAAATTACCTTTGTTGAGATATAATATCTCGGCCTACTACTATTCAGAAGTCTGAAGCATTACCTTAATACGAAGCTCGATCAGTGAGGGCCATTTCTGCCCACTTCGCCCCATTGGTCCCACTTTGGCCCACTTGACCCATTAGGGTAGAATGCACCCCCCCCCCCCCCCCCCCCCTTTTTCTTATAAATAGGAGGATCTCCCTCCACATTTGGGATCCCTTTTGGACTTCTTCTCCAACCATTTCTCTCTAGCCTTAAACCTCCATTAATGGGAGTTGTTGTAGTGTGTAAATAGTGAGGAGAGTATTAAAGAGAATGAGAATGGTTTGAACATTAGCCCAAAAAGTTCATACCTATTTACATCTTTATTTACTACTTGGTTCTCAACAAAAGTATCTCCCGGAGGGCGGCCAAAGCAAGGCACTAGCCGGTCAATCCCTCGGAAGATCTATCGACCGCTCGGCCTCACAATACCTACCAGGCACCCCTCGGTGCTCAACAGAAGTGATGCACATCCCTGGTTCATCGTGAGCAATGACATTTTGAAAGGCTGAAGGCCTCTAGGTCCGAGCCTCGTGTACCTTACCCGTCCTGACTTCAGTAAAGATCACTGCCGCCTAGTCCTTAGTCGCTCGGCATCCGGTCCTGCTCAAACCATGCAACAACTTCTTCCCGGCACTCAGCGCCACATCCGTCCAGCATCCCCTATTTTCAGCAACAAGTACGAATATTGAATATGAGGACCCGAATACGGATCCCATACTATTAGAAAATGAAGAATGAAAGTAGGAGAAATTCTAAAACTCTATTAGAATAGCTCAAAGGCTGAGAAGATTGTTGTGTGTTGTCAATGTTCTGACTGGGTTATATTTATAGCCTCAATTCTAATGCTAGGGTTGGAAACTATAAAAAGAAAAAAAAACTTTACAAAGGGGAAATACACACAATGAAGTAAGATGTTTCTTGAATGACAGAAGATGATGAATCCTTATTTAATGTTTCTTGGAC